GTTCTCTCCAGACCAGAATACACAACGTCATCTATAGACCTTCTACATTTGATCTAGTAATGCAGGCACCACAAATGGGGCATGTCCGCAAACAAACATGCCATGTACCCCTTTGCAACAATCCCTCCTCAGACCCTCTCCCCGCCCTGTCCCGGTGCCCCTCCCCCCCCCCTTTCAGTAAAGGACACCACCATCGCTACCCAGTCACCCAAGTCAGAACTCCAAGAGTCATCCTTATCTCATCCTATTCCTCATGCTCCACACCCATTCAGCCAATAGAGGAATCAGGGCCAAAGAGTGTGCACATGCTGTACCAAGAAAGAGGCACGTACAGGAGAGACGAACAGGATGATCAACTGTCCCGGCTGGCCTGGGAGTGTCCTGGTTTGAACAATGAAAGTCTCACATCCCAGAAAGCTTCTCAGTCTCAGGTAAACCAAGACAACTGGTCATCCTGGAAAGGAGAGAATTTGGGAGGGCAGGGATGCTTCCTGGAAGAAATGACGCCCAGAAGAGGAGAGGACAGTATGTGCAAAGCACAGAATGGAGCAGCATCAGTAGCATTGTTAATGAAGTGTCAAGCTTGAGGCATGGAGGGTGGGAAGGGGACTCTGGAAAGGTAGGCAGGGGTTGGGTCTTAGAGAGCAATGTATTGGACTTGACCACTTAAGTGTCACAAGTTTCTCAAAGAGGTAAAATACTAGTAGTCAGATCTGCATTTGTAGGCAGGTGTTTTGAGACAGAACCTTAACATTTATGAACTGTTGATGGCTTGAAGCCAGGAGTTAAGCTGTTATTTTTCAAACAGAGGCCCAGTGCACGAAATTCATGAACGGGTAGGGTCCCTAGCAGCTGCCCGCTAGGGGTGCCGCCCTCTCCCTGGCCGCCTACCACCGGCCTCGCCCCCTGGTCAAACTCCCAGTCGAGGGGGCAATTTGCATATTAGGCTTTTATTATATAGAACTGTCAATGGTTCCTTAACTGTGATTTTAAAGACAGAAGCTAGAATTTGTCTTAGGGACAAACCTTTCCTCTGTTTTGGGAGGAAGTTGGTTGGGCTCTCTCTTAGTCAAGTTGATATAAAATAAGTACCCTCTTGTCCCTGGTATAATCTCAAACTTTGGTGAAATAATCCAAGACCAACTGCAGGGATGAGGAGGGCCATTCAGTCTGTCAGGCTTCCCAGTATGAGATTTGGGGTTTACATTATTTTAGAGAGGATCTGAACTCCCTGCTGCCAGTTGGCTGAGGGCATCACTGATAAAGGACCACTTTAAACTAAATTCTCCATCTAAGGTTTTCAGATTACACACAAACCTGGGTAAATACAGACAACAAACTGTGTCAGGCTAGCTGTGGCTACAAATTCTCAGGGAAGATTTTTTTTCCCCTCTGCACAAAGCACCAAGTTTGAGACAGAAATTTTTTCTTACTGGACCCTCCTGCATGGTGGCTTTCTTTATCATGTACCCTTATTCTGAAGGCATAGTTCTTCAGTATACTAGGTTTATGTGGATATTTCCTGTTAATAGTCCCACTTTAGGCAAGCTCTAGACTCTCATCTCCTGTACCTTTACAGACACCATAAGGAAAGCTTAATATCTCCATGACTGAGCAGAATCCCACAGGGTGCAAGACAGCTTTCTCACTTACTTCTCTCCTAAGGTTCCTGTTTTCATTTCCTTTATCTGAGGAGTCTTTCTTTTCATAATAAGTCTGAAATAGGTTCTAAAAAGTACATACATACATACATATATATACTAATATAGATAGACACATAGGGAAGAAGGATGGAAGGAAGAAAGGGAGGGATAGAGAAGGGAAGGAGGGAGGGAGAGAAGAAGGAAGGAAGAGGAAGGAAGGGAAGGAAGGAAGGAAGGAAGGAAGGGGAAGGGAAGGAGGGAGGGAGAGAGGGAGGGAGGGAGGAAGGGAGGGAGGGAGGAATAGATAATGCACTTTAGTTGTTTCCACTAATAACATTTGGGATAGTGGCATTAGGAGTATCCAGTCTGCCATACTCCATGTCATTGAACTCCCGGGTTGCGATTCTTACTTTCTTAACATGCCTACCAGAAACAGCAGTCAATGGGCACAGAGAACCCTCCACAAATGTTTTTTCTCTCCTTTAAATTGGGCATCAGCATTTTTGTTCATTCACTCATTTGTCGTTCATTTGGTAAGTGAATATCAAGTGCCTACTATGTTTGAGCCACTATGAGACAACAAATCTACCAACTCACTGAAGTATGCACCAAACGAGTACAAATCAAAACCTGAATATGCCAGATTAACTATGTAAAATGCAATAATGAAAGTTCACTACACCAGGATCTTAAAATGTCTTATTATAGAAATTTTCAAACAAACACTAGAGTAGTTAGAACAGTATAATAAATCCCCATGTATCCATTTTCCAGCTTCAACAAATAACTCATGGCCAAACTTCCTTCATCTATACTTCTTCCGTCCCTCTCCCTCCCTCCCATTTTATTTGGAAGCCAATCAAAGACATCACATCCTTTCACTTGGAACTATTTCACTGAGTAAACCAGCTTTTAAAGCAGAGACCAAGAGTTTTTTCTGAGTTATGTCAAGTATCTAGAACCACAATGCATACAAACACCCACAGTTCTTATGGGCCATCCTTCTCAACCAATCAGAGCAACGTATCCTGACTAAGACGTCTGGGAAAGACAACTCTTCCCCACAGACTGCAGATTCTCTATGTATCACATCTGGGTGCAATAGCTTATCCATAATGAGGGGAGAAAGTTCAAAGTCCTCTTAAAACTACAGTGCTTATGATAGCTCTCCAAAATACTGGTCATACTTAACATTAATCATTAACACCCTCAGCAGAGTCTATCTATGAGGTAAAAATGTGCCTCCTATTAGTCATAAGGAAGTTTGGATCTAATAAATATTTTGCAGTCATCCAACAGCCTGGAATATCAGGGGTTGTAAATTCATGACTTATGTATGAACAAGAGTCAACAGGATCTGTATCTAGTTCTCAAGTGTAATTCTGAAAACTTAGCTGCTGTGAAATGCTACCTTGATTTCCTGTGATCATATAATAAGATTTAAAACCTACCAAGGCATAAAACTCAACGTGATAGAGGAGCCATCAAGTTTTCCTGTCCTTACGTAAACATGTGGAGGTCTTCACAACAGAAACTTTTTCTACTCAACAAAGGAGTAGATTAGATGACTGAACCCCATAAAATAGTGCTAATGTCCCATATTTCATTTAAATTTGAAATCTCAAAAGCCTACAAACACTAGCCAAAAAAATTGGTGGAATAACACATAGACAAAGTTATTTCTCCAAAATATTCAAAATGATTTTAAGCATTCTAATGAAATTTTAACTCACTTAAACATAATTGGATCCAGACATACTAGTAAGGAAGAACTGTACTAAAGAAGAGAACTTCAAAAACTATTATGTTAAACAACTGCACTTATATTCCTTTTTAGTTATAAAGCGAATTCTTTATTTAAATAATGCTTCTACACACCTGGATCATATGCCTTAGTGTATGAACCTCTTAGCTGAAACTAAATCACTGCAAAATGTGTATAATTTAAACAGTACAATTTTCCAGTGATTTTAATCAAACCTCCTTCTCCCCCACTAAGCAATAAAACAAATTAATTTTGTGAATACACATATACAGAACATGTGTCTATAAAAAGTTCTTCACTGCAGGTTTTAACTGCGGCATCCATTTTCAGAGTAATTTACAGCTTTTTAATAAGCAGTAAGATCTGCTTATGACGTATCCGGTCATTATTGGTGAGCTCTCAGGGAGTACTGGTTGATGCATAAATATACATATATATAATGTTCCATACATACCATATTCCATGGATAGCACATTCTATATTATCATATTCCAAATTATCATATTCCATATATATACATGGAGTATCATTCGGCCATAGAAAAGCAGGAAGTCCTGCTTGGAACAACATGGTGGACCTTGAGGGGATTATGCTAAGTAAATAAGCCAGACAGAGAAAGACAAATACTGCATGGTATCACTTATACGTGGAATCTGAAAGAGGAGGAGAAGGAGGAGGAGAAGTTGTCAAAATCATAGAAACAAAGAGTAGAAAAATAGTTGCCAGGGGCTGGGGGGTGGAGGAAACAGGGAAAGGTTGGTAAAAGAGGACAAAGTTTCAGCTATAAGATGAATAATGTCTCAGTATAAAATGTAAAACATAGTGACTATAGCAGATAACACCGTGTTGTATAACTAAATTTTATTAAGAGAATAGAACTTAAATATTCTCACCCAAAAGAAAAAAAAAATTAAGCATTGTTCTTTTTTTCTTTTTTTTTAATATATTTTATTGATTTTTTACAGAAAGGAAGGGAGAGAGAGAGAGTTAGAAACATCGATGAGAGAGAAACATCGATCAGCTGCCTCCTGCACAACTCCCACCGGGGATGTGCCCACAACCCAGGTACATGCCCTTGACCGGAATCGAACCTGAGACCTTTCAGTCCGCAGGCTGACGCTCTATCCACTGAGCCAAACCGGTTTCGGCTAAGCATTGTTCTTTATCACCATTGTGACTTATTATGTAGCCACCTCTGTCTTTTTAGGTACCCAAATTATTCATGGAGATTGCAAATATTCTTCATGTATATATTAGGATGAAAACATTTGCCAAGGCAGGTCCAAGAGCTAAAAGAACACCCTTTCTTGTTTTCTTTTGTTACCTTTATTGAAAAAAAAGAAACGGCCCCCGAGAAAAGCCTCTAAGAAATGCCTCTCGTGGTAATTTCTAGAAAGGAATTAAACAGATTGCTGTAAAAGGGGTGGAGGGAGCAAGGCAAGGTGGACTGTGGTGTCAACCCTCAGGTGAGATGTCAGCAGAGGAGGAGTGTCTTTCCTGTGAACACTATAAAAGGCAGTTCATTCACCACAGAGGGACAGACTCTGCTCCACCCATCCTGAAGCTACAGGTGCTCCCTCCTAGAATCCCCAATGGATTTCACACGCAGAAGCTTGCAAAGAAGCCTGAGTTCCTCCTCGCAGGCGTCTATGGTCAACATGTATAGGGCTGGGGGCAGGCAGCTCCTGGGGGCAGCACCCAGCGTCTATGGGGGAGCTGGAGGCCACGGCACCCGCATCTCAACCTCCAAAAGCTTGGTGAGCTATGGGAATGATCTCAACAAAGGCGACCTGTTTTTTGGCAATGAGAAGATGGCCATGAGAAACCTCAATGACCGCCTAGCAAGCTACCTAGAAAAAGTGCGTTCCCTGGAGCAGTCCAACCTCCAACTTGAGATGCAGATTAAGCAGTGGTATGAATCAAACGTGCCCAGCACCAGTCGGGACTACGGTGCATACTACAAACAAATTGAAGAGCTGCAAGCTCAGGTAAGGGATGATGCTGAGTTTTCTACTCCACTATGTAGCTGCATGATATATCAAGAGGGCTTATACATTAGGTGGGTTCAAATGGATGTTGTAAAGCAAATTAGGCTGAAATGCAACATCGATAAAAATGGTATATTCTATCATCTACCCTGACTACATAATAGGATGACTATGAATCATACTTTTTAAAGTTTTAAAACCTAATTATATATAAAATATAAAAATTTTATCCTCCAATCTTATACTCTGTATTTTTGTCATAGTTTACTAAGTCAGGGCTAAGAGAATAGTAAGCCTTTCTTTCTGAAAAAGCTAAATTTTTAAATGATAATAAATCTCTCTTAGTTTTTCACCTAGTTCCCATCAACTCTTGAAACCCCTGTCAATTTAGAGAGTTTCCTGTTTCCATTTATGTAAATGGTACAATATAAGTATTAGAATACTGTATCATTAGATTTCAATGATAGTTTTTCAGGGTAGAAATGAGGGGAAGGGGTATGGGTCTTACTGATAGCTGGACTTTTAAATGTCCTATTTAATAATCTGATCATAGACAGCAAGCAGTGAAGACACCACTTCCACAGTAATAAAATGCTCTATTGCCCCCAATTAAAATTTATGGCAATTGTATCAGAACCATGTCATCCAAGAAAGGTGGGGTTCTCAGTTTTATCGATTGTGTGACATAAAAGAAGACTTTGCTCCTAATTGAAGATCTCAGATATGACTCAGAGCATTTGCACTGCTGGAATATTCTTATCTAATCAAGAAAAGTGTCCCTTTTCTTTCCCTTTCTATTTTAACATTGGTGTTCCTTTAGACTGAGCAAAGGTCACTTACCAGCAAGTCTCTTTTTTCTTGTGTTGTATTAGACAGCAGTACAATTTGATGCAGATTCTACAGGAAGTTACTTTGGTGTTTCAGGAACTATGTGGATGTGAGAGGCCAAGGTGTTTAAATGGTCCTTTCTGCCAACAGGTCATTCTTCTCCAACTCCCACTACACACATTTAAAATCAGCCAACCATTCCCCCTACCTGCCTCATGGTTCATGTTTCTGAATCCACTATGGATTGCCTCAAACCCATGGACACAGCCATTTCTTCCATTTAGCTGGACAGCCCCTGTATCTGAAGGAAGGCAGCTCTTTCTAGGATGGGATAAGCTGAAAGAGATATGTCATTATAACATTTTCTACAAGCAGACTTCTGATCCATGTGCATCTTAGAGAATTCACCCAATAGGTGACAGCTACTTAAGAGCAAGGGCTTATCCATCCTGATAGCCCCCGTGCATAGCACAACTCCCACCACCTAAGTGTCCATTCATCAGCCAATATTTAGTCGACACTAACTAGGTGCTAGTTGCCATGCTGGACAATGGGAAATATGATGGTAAATGTAAGGTGACTTCGGGGGGAACAGGCATGGACAAAGGCAACATTTATCCCACACACATGGGGGACTGTGTAGGGCAATGAAGGCACAAGTAGTTCATCCACCCAGTTCTGTTTTGAGGAAATCGTGAAGGCTTGAAGCAATGAACGTCTAAGCTGACACATGGAGGAGGAGGAAAAAGAGGAGGGGCTCACTGAGTGAGAGGAGCTCAGAGAAATGTTCTAAGCAGGAATAAAGGCAAGGCACTCAATAAGGTTGGATGCCTCAAGGTGAATTAAAATCTCCTTTGATGAAATCACAAGAAAGCTGACCAAACTGTAAGACGAGCATTGCATTTTACAAATCTATTATGTTCAATAGCCATATCATTATTCTTCCTTTCCATTTTCATGTGGAAATGACTGAAATGAACATCATCTTTGATATAACAGCAGTCGTACCTGAGTATAAAGGCAGTCATTCAAACTCCTACCCAGCTGAAAATGTCATTCCTTCTCATGTGTTTTCCAGATCAAAGATGCTCAGCGGCAACACGCTCAGTGTGTCCTGAAAATCGATAATAGCAAACTGGCGGCTGAGGACTTCAGACTGAAGTAGGTTCTCTAATTCCATGGCAAAAGTTCCTGAAAAGGAATGTCTTTCAGTGGTCCTTCATGATACCAAGCTTTCCGTTGTTGGTAAAGGAGCTACCACTAAATAGTTTCAGAGTCTTGGCATGTAAAGGGTGTTAGAAACTATCTGGTACAGTCCCTCTCCCACAGTCTTAAGATTCCGTTACCCAGCGTGTAACTGAACACCTCCAGTAACTGCTGTTCTTGTAGGTTAGCTCTATCGTCAGAACGTTCTTTTTTAGTAACCCGGCATCTACCTTCTCACATACTGAACCTAATTCTGCCCTTTGGAATAATAACAAAGCAATTTAAAACTCTGACTAGGACCCTATCCAGTTTGGCTCAGTGGATAGAGTGTCGGCCTGTGGACTGAAGGATCTCAGGTTCAATTCCAGTCAAGGGCACATGTCCGGGTAGCGGGCTCAATCCCCAGTGTGGGACGTGCAAGGGGCAGCCGATCAATGATTCTCTCATCATTGATGTTTCTCTCTCTCTCCCTCTCCCTTCCTCTCTGAAATCAATAACTCTGCATAGCTGCCCGTCTGTTATCTAAAGAGAGTCATTTGTCTACCTTAGTAATTCTGCAAATGAGTCATCCATGTTCCTCCCACTGCGTACAAGTGTATGCCCAAAGTTCCAGGGGTGACGTGACTCTTGATGCTTTCTAGATTTCCAGTCTTTTACAATACAGTCTGATCAACCAAAGAACTAGGACGATGATTAAATCAGTTCAATCTGCTCCCTCTCTTGTAGTCATTTCACACTACATGTAATCAGAGTTGTACCTCAGAAACTGCTTCTACACTGGGGCTTCCTCACCTGAATTTGTACAACACATCTGCACTAACGAGTCCTTTATGTTTTAAAAGGGTGACATCTTAATGCTACAGGGATCAAAATGAAAAAAAAAATGAGAGCAGATCTGAAGATTAAAGCAGTAAAAGTTCATTAATTCCAGTCAACATCTGATTGTTCTATTTCATTATCATTTTTAAACATTACTACTTTAATAAAAATGGGAGTATATAAAATTTTAGAAGGGCATACATGAATTTTTAAGATAATTTACTTTGGATACATCTGCTTACAAAGTAATAAAAATAAATTGATCATGTATATTCATTAAGTAAATTTAGTTATTTTAATATCAATGAGAACCCTTTGCTGACACAATAATTAAAGAAATTTTTAAAATATATTTTTATTGATTTCATAGGAATGGAGATGAAGAGAGATATAGAAACATCAATGATGAGAGAAAATAATTGATCAGCTGCCTCCTGTATGCCCCCTACTGGAGATAGAGCCCACAACCAGGGCATGTGCCTCTCCCTTCCTCTCCCTCTCCCTTCCTCTCTGAAATCAATAACTCTGCATAGCTGTCCGTCTGTTATCTAAAGAGAGTCATTTGTCTACCTTAGTAATTCTGCAAATGAGTCATCCATGTTCCTTGTTAATATTTGTAAATATTTACAAATATATTTACAAATTTTTTCTTTGTAAATATATCCTAGAATTTAAAAATGTTTTTTATTGATTTCAGAGAGGAAGGGAGAGGAAGAGAGAGATAGAAATATCAATGATGAAAAAGAATCATTGATTGCCTGCCTCTTACATCCCCTACTGGGGATGGAGCCCACAATCTGGGCATGTGCCCTGACTGGGAAATGAATTGTGACTTTCTAGTTCATGGATCTACTCTCAACCACTGAGTCACACAGGCTGGGCTAGAAACTTTTTAAAGTAATTTCTGATTGATTTTTTTTAATCAAATCACAGAGATTATATATGGGGCAAATGATCTGATTCCTAGGCTCTCAGGAACATTTTTGAAATGTATAAAGCGGGATACAATAATGTATTGAAATTGAAATCCTCATATACTACATATAAACCTATCTCGTTATATTAAGATTATCTCTTCTATAATGGTTTCGGAAGGGCTCAGTTATCTCTGCTTATTAATTCACAGGTATGAGACTGAAAGAGGGATGCGCCTAACAGTGGAAGCTGACCTCCAGGGCCTGAGTAAGGTTTATGATGATCTAACCCTAAGCAAAACCGACTTGGAGGCTCAAATTGAAGAACTGAATAAAGACCTGGTTCTCCTCAAAAAAGAGCATCAGGAGGTAAAAAATAAATAAATAGATAGATAGATAGATTTCAGAAGTGGTACTGGGAATGGTGGAAAGAGGAGGATAAAGAAGACTGGGTGGTGGTGGTGATGGTGAAGATGACAACAATAATGATGTGACCCCTAACTTCTTTTCATAAGGTTTCTATCAGGAATAAATAGAGAAATATCTGGACCATAAAAAAAGCCCTGCCTATTATGTTCTTCCTTTTTTGACTCACTCCCAGTGAAAAAAGCCATAAAATGTATAAAGTCTTTTCTGCCCGGCCTCCTCTGAGAACACACTTCAGACTATAATCAGCCAGGATTTTCATTCTCGTAGGAAGTGGCCGGCCTACGCAAACAGCTGGGCAACACTGTCAATGTGGAGCTGATGGCTGCTCCAGCCCTGAACCTCAGCGCCATCATGGATGAAATGAGGCAGAAGTATGAAGTCTTGGCCCAAGAGAACCTTAAGAAGGCCAAGGAAGAGTTTGAGATACAGGTAATAGCATAATTCTAAAGGATAAGCAAATGTGTAGAAGTTGTCCTCCACAAAGAGATAACTCTTTCTTCCTTCTTCTCTTTTTCTTCCTTTCTTTCTTTCTGTCCTTTTTCCCTTGTTTACTTTTCTCATTTTTGGAATTTTAGACTGAAACTCTGCAGCAACAAGTCTCAGTGGACACTGCAGAGTTAAAGCAAGCGGAGGTTCAAGTAAAGGAGCTGAGACGCACCTACCAGAACTTGGAGATAGACCTCAACTCCCATCTGAGCATGGTAAAGCACATCTAACTTCCAGCTCTCGGTGTCGTGTCTGTTTACTAAGTGCCTGCATTAGGAACTTGGAAAGTAAGAAACCACCCCTCCCCTTGCAAAGCTGGCAGGGAAGCGGGCCAAACAACAGATTATGATTAAAGAACAGAAAGAAATCAAGGGAAAGGGCAATGAACTGTGAGGGTGCAGAGGAAGAAGATCTGGAAGATTTATAGTGAAAGTGGCATTTCAACTAGATCTGAAAACTTTAGTTTTTAAGCTAGAGAATAGGAGTAAAGACATTCTGGGCAAAGCAAATCAATCAGCATGTGACAAATTATGCTCTGGTAACAACCCCAAAATCATAGTGGCTCACAACACTGCATCCATCATGGTTTGGCTGCAGCTCTGGCTGGGGCATGCCAGTGTTGTGGCCCAAAGAAAAGAGCAATAGTTAGACCATGTGATCCCTCTTAAAGCTTCTCAGAAAAGGCAATTGTCAGTTTCACTTGCATCTCATTAGCCAAAGAAAATCATATGACCAAGCCTGGTGTTAACAGCATGAGGAAGGCTAATCCTCCAAATGAAGTGGCACCATAAACCGCAGGGAGGGGAAGCAAATATTGAAAACAATAATACAATATACAGTAAGAGAACAGTGAGTGCAAAGCTAAAAAAAAAACAAAAAACGAAAAGCTAAGGGTCCTAGCTGACTGACTGGGGTTGCCTAGAGGAAGAGAGTGGGAGATAAAGCCAGAATTATGCATGATGCCCATAACAAGATAACAAGCTACAGAAATTCCTCTCAAAAGATTAAAATTGAGCCACCTCTTAAATCAAATCCTCAAGAAATGTCCACTTTTTCCTGTGCTCGTAGAAACAATCTTTGGAGCAGACACTGCAAGATACCA